GGGCTAATATGCTGCTTAAAACAAATATTATTTTTTGGGGCATTTTTTAAAGGAATCGGATAGCTTTATATTGTTTTGTATGTTTAATCCTAAACATACTTTATTTGTAATGCTCTGTACTTCAAAATCTTCAGATCCAAAGTTTACTTCAATTAATAAAAAGCTTCCTGTTTGTATACACACAGAAAATGTCTGTATAAATACCATTCTTGCTAACATAAGGTGAAGGAGTAGCCAACTAACATAAGGATACTTTGAACATTAAAATCAATAATGAGCTAGATTTTAAATGTTTTTCCTCACTCAATTTACATCTGTAAATAGCCCCAAATTCGTTGAAGATAAGTATAGCTGCCGTAATGTCTCGCGCTATTCAAAATATATCAGCAATACCTATTATACATTTAACTTAAGTTGATTTTTACTTTACTTTTCCTTTAAATCCAATTATTTCAGCATTTCATATAATCTTACAGTTCTTAAGACCCTTGGCTCTATATCTGATATTATATTTGTTTAACATTTTTTTATTAATCGTGTGAGCGCTCAAAATTTATCACTGATTGAATATTATAAACTAATACAATAAAAAAAACTCAATTGGGTTAAAAGTAAATAAACCTTGGTATCATCACCGACTTACAGAATATTTTGCTACTGAGGTTTTCACACTTATGACCTATAGATATTAATAACTGTACTGCATCTGAATAATATTTGAATTTTGCTGATGTGTCTGAGTTTCCAGATTGTTAGAAGATCTGATCCCCATATCGGATTGTTGCACCGTGGAACTGAAAAGTTAATTGAATATAAAACCTATACTCAGGCTTTGCCCTACTTTGACCGATTGGACTACGTGTCCATGATGTGCAATGAACAGTGTTTCAGTTTGGCTGTTGAGAAACTTCTTAACATTGATGTTCCAATTCGTGCTAAATATATCAGAGGTAATATATTTGCGGTTTTTATCGGCGCAAATAGACAGGATATTCCTTCAGTTCTTAAATTACTTTTACATCGTGTCATTACTTATCAATTGAATTTTTAGTTTTATTTGCCGAACTCACAAGAATCCTAAATCACATCATGGGAATATGTACGCACGCTTTGGACATTGGTGCGCTTACCCCATTCTTTTGGCTTTTTGAAGAGCGTGAAAAAATGATGGAGTTCTATGAACGTGTATCAGGAGCCCGCATGCACGCTGCATATGTTCGTCCTGGCGGTGTAGCGCTGGTAAGTTAAAATACAGCGAAAAAAAAATGTTAACTTAATTATGGAAATTAATATGGAAGGTGATTACACATTCTCATTCATTCATTCTACTGGAGATTATCCTAGGGGGTACAGAAAAATGGTTTAAAAAATAATTCTCCCAAACAACTGCAATTAACTGATTATCATAAATTCCACAACATTGATTTACATTGCACGTGAAAATTACGTTTTTTTTTATTAACATTACATAAACCTATTGCTTATAAGAATGTTTGCCCTTCATATTACGGCTTGATGTCAAAAGAACGTTTTCTCGGGAAAAAGTTATAAAAAAATAGAACGGTAGAGATGTAACCCGTCTTCAACAATTTATGATACGGGGTTACTTCGAAAGTTCGAGATCAAAGACAATCTAGGCGAAACGTTTAAATGGTTTTGCATGTCTGGGTTAGTGCTTGTTTCTATTAAACTTCCTTCTTCCACAATTTTCATTGTGTTTACTGTTCACAAACAATTTTATTTATTGCAAGAGATCACGATATGATCGATTGAGTCTCCACAACGACGGTAAACTTTATCAATGTTGGAAATTGTTTCAAAACATTTTAAGTCTTCAAGAGATCAATTTAAAACTGTTACAAACTGTTGAATGTGCATCTCCAAGAGCTAATGTATTAAAGAAGTAAACTACAAACGGTTGCTTAACTTTTCCGTAGTAAGCTTCAGAATCATTTAAAAGAAATTAGTTCAATTTTAAGTCACGCTGGTATATTTTTATAGAGAAATTTCATTTTTTCCAAAACTAGAATAAACAATTATTAAGCACTAAGAGAAATATACAGTTTTGAAATCAAATTTGCACCGACATGTTTCCAGTAGAATTTCGAATTTTTTTCAGGATATGCCGTTGGGGCTAATGGACGATATTTTTGAATTTGCTTCGAAGTTCAATGAACGGTTAGATGAGGTAGAAGACCTACTAACTTCCAATAGATTATGGGTGCAAAGAACCGAAGATATTGGCATCGTGACTGCTGAAGATGCGTTAAATTATGGCTTCAGGTATGCAAGACACATTGTTTGTAAAAAAAAGTTGTGGTAATTTTTTAGTGGAGTGATGCTAAGGGGATCTGGCATCAAGTGGGATTTGCGTAAAACGCAGCCATATGATGCTTATGATAAGGTAGAATTCGACATCCCTATTGGAACCAAAGGTGATTGCTACGATCGGTATCTTTGCCGTTTGGAGGAAATGCGTCAGTCGCTAAGAATCATTCATCAATGCCTGAATCAGATGCCACCTGGTGAAATAAAGACCGACGATGCGAAGGTTTCACCACCAAGTCGAGGGGAAATGAAGGTAATCTATTCGGCCATTAGTAGATGTTATTTGTTACTAACTCTTTCGCAGACATCTATGGAGGCATTAATTCACCACTTCAAGCTGTTCACCCAAGGTTACCAAGTCCCACCTGGAAGCACCTACACTGCTGTAGAAGCTCCTAAAGGTGAATTTGGAGTTTACTTGGTATCTGATGGAACCTCTAAACCATATAGGTATGTACAAACAGTTTATATGTGGCTCGGTCTGAAGTTTAAACCTAATACTGAAATAGTCAGAGATAATAGAAAATCGCAAGCACTTTGAAGACTAAATTTGTTTGTTCCAGGTGCAAAATTAAGGCTCCGGGATTTGCGCATTTAGCAGCGTTGGACAAAGTTGGTAAAAACCATATGTTGGCCGACATTGTGGCCATTATAGGAACCTTAGATATCGTATTTGGTGAAGTCGATCGATAAACGCAACGTATGATTTTCAAATAATATTCAATTATCGCAAAATATAATAATTATGTTATCGGTAATCATTAAATAATTTATTACGTTCATTGAGTTGTATATAAGAATAGCTTACGACACAAATATGAAATTCATTTTATTGAACCTCCCCATGCAGTTTGTCATTAGACAACCAGAGTTTGATCCAATTAAACAGTTGACGAAATAAAAATACCTTTTATTTCCCTCCTACATTCTAAATGACGAAATTAATGTATGAATAAATAGTTTTTTTTTCGCTGAGAAATAAAAAATAAGTGTTCTAATCCTCAAATTAAAGGTTCGTGACTTAAAAAGTCAGTTGTGGTATTATTCGATAATTTAAACAAAACATTCACACGTAAAATATCAATATCCCTACCAAACAATACATTCATGCAACATGAAGTATAATGAAATAGTTATAGATCAGTTTCAATAGCCAATTATTGTTCAAGGTGTATTTTATCACTTTTCTGGAGACTTTAAAACGATTGAGTTTATTTATGTTCCCGGCGAAATGAATTTTTCATTTATAGTTGCCCTGACACTTTATCTACCAATATCAAACGTAAGTAAATTGCTTTTTATGCATAAAAATAAGGTATGCAGTTCAGATCAATTGGAATAAAATAATATGAGGTATTCTTTAGTGGATTGTCACCGCGTATTCAATTTTAGGGTTTTCTAACAGTTCCAAAATGCCTGATATCTACTGGAGCCAGAATAAAAGATTTGCACAATTTAGCTACCGGAGATAGTTTACCAGAAAGTTCAAGATGTTTTGTTAAATGCGTCGGCGAAGAATCAGGGTTGATTCTTGATGGGACCTTACATTCCGAGCACTTCGAAGCCCTTCCAATGGTGTCACGGTTAAAGGCCGACGTTTTCGTCGATGCTAGAAGGTGCATTGAAAGCGTCCAGGGTTTAAAAATCGAATCATGCAAAGATATAGACAACCTAAATGATTGTATGAAAATAGTATACCGGCAAAAATATTCAGACTCAAAATAACTTTTCCAATAACGAAGGTTTACTCATAGTTATGTTTAATTGGGAGCATTAAAAACATATTAAAATTATAAATGTTTGTTTTAATCCTGAATGCAGGTCTGTTCCACTAAAGTGACCAACTGATAACCCGATTGTGCTGGCTATATTAGCAATATCTTTTTTGTTAAAATAATAACATTAATTTAGGGCCATCTCGGGAAGAATGAATTGATGAACTTGTTATAATTCAAAATAATTTATTTTAGTATTTACATTTTAATTATACCTGGTAAAACCGCATAGATTCCGGATTTAACAATCATCATCTGTAGATGTATCAGATTTATTTTTGTGCTTTTTTGAGATTTTTCTCTTCCACTTCTTTTGATTTTTATGATTCTGATGAGCGCTGCTCTCGTTTTCATCACTAGATAGGACAATTACACAACTTGATTTATTTTTTGCATTTCTTGTGGCAGACTTGCCTGACTTCCTCATAGAAGAAGGCTCTTTCATGTTGACAATTTCCAAGTCATCTAAATCAGTATCGGTAGAAATACCGTCCAATATCTGAAGAGTTTTCTTATAAGATTGCACTTGGGATTGATCTGTACTAGCTGCATCTTCCACTTCTGATCCAAAACTTAACTTGTGCGGTTCCCATTTTCGTTTCGTTGATTCTTTTTGGGATCTCTTATTGCCTTTCGGCCTGATACATTTATCTTTCGTTTCTAAAACGAGTCGTCGTTCAAACGCGTAATCAACTAGGGGCATTTTATTTGATGATGATTTATAAACAGGAACCCTATATTTGCGTGTTTTTTCATCTTTCAAATAGTCACTCCTAAATGTATCTACTCCTTTATCGATTCTAAAAAGGGAAATAACTTTTGTTGAGCAATTTCTTCAATTACGTAGCATGGAATACAAAGTGATATTCACATTTTAGAAGTTTTTGAAAAAATGTTTGATCGTGCCGACTTTCATTGTCTTAGAAAGATGTCTTTTAAACACAACGTTTTATTTTCTACTGGTGAGAATCTTAATGCTACTTGGGGCGAGGAGATTTAAGCATGTGTGACTTCCTGTCGTGTTGTTGTGTACCAGCGATTTTAATTTATTAAATTTTGATAGACACCTCGCTTAGTTTTACCAATGCATAACACACCTCGACCTCAGTAAATTTAAGAAATGGAAACGTTGAGCAAGTTTGAAGAATCATATACTTTTCTGATACAATTAGTTAGAAACTAATTTACAGCCAAAACCTACAAAATCAAGGTAGATAAACATATATAAGAATATCTGTTTATTTTATAATTAGAATGCAAAGAAGCCTCAGCCGACCTTAATGAATTATTGAACTTGTTTCTAACAAAACTAGTCATCTTCCGAATCAATTACAATTAATACCGTGATTCGAGAGACACGTACATTCGGGGCAACCCGTTAATTTATTGCATGATAAAGTAACTAGGAAGTAGTTTGGCAATTTTGAAACTTTTTTCATATGAATCAATTAAAGACAAACTTTTTTTAGTCGAGTCTTAATGCATTTTCTAGATTGAAAATATATCATCTATACAATATTATATGATAGAATAAATTGTTATAAATTATAAAGTTTTCAAATGTTGAAGACAAAGCAATAGCTGTAGAAGCATCGCTATAAACCATTCAATGAAATATTACGTCATTTTGTGAATGAGAAAATGTTAGTGTTTTATTTTAATAATTTTTATGAAATGATTAGTTTAGGTGAAAAAATGTACGTTAAAGTCCCCATCTGCATACTTATAGCTCTCGATTTTGTTTGGGTTATATAAATGACGCTCGAAACGTTGTGATTAAAATACACAGATGCAAAACAATAGAAGTCCAAATAAACTATTTGATTTTATTATCGTTCAAATCTTAATTATCTTTTTGATTATACAGGGATATTCAATGTTTAATAGAAAATATAAAAGATCTAAAAGAACTCGAAAAACATCACTAGAAAATTTTGGTTTTGCCAGAGAGTGTGTTGTAAGTGTAGTTTTTTTAAATATTTTCATCAAAATTTAACATAAATTTACAACGCCTCAAACGACAAAATTCTGGCAAGACACCGGAGCGTAAAGTTGGCACGAAAAACTCAATAAAAGTTCAAATTTCAGCATCATGTATCACGAAAACGAAGCATTTCCTGCATTTGCATATGTGAACTTTTTTCTTATTTTTGTGAGTTATGTCGCGATTAAAGAAACTGAATCACCCTGTATATTAATGTCAGTGATCTGAGTCAATTAGAGAGAAAGAGGGGAGTTAATAAAATATTAAAATATATATTGAAATTGTTCAGTAATATTTTGATAGATTTGAGTAAGAACAAACCTGTTGTTAGTTGAAACTAAACTGTTCACAGTTCGTTGGAAGAAATTTAAATTTGGTTTTAGCCGGGGTATAATCAGTTTCCCTTGTCGTCTTTCGCTGTCCTTGATCAATTCCTTAATAACATCACTAGAATATGAAACACACTTATATTGCCCTTTGTTGCATTTTAATTCAAATAAGAACATACAGAATTAATTCAATTCATAGGTATTCATTCATTTAATCAATACATAGGTAGTCTACATTGCTTTAGTTCGTCTTATCCTTTTGTCTAATAACCCCAAACAAGAACAATTTCTGTTGCTGTTAAAAATTAAATGTCTGCATATAAATTTGTGAAAACAATTAGTTTAGCCGTTCATATTGCTTGAAAAGTGTACCCAAAAAAAGTGAATGATGAGACCTGTTCCCTTAGTACCTCTATTTTCCTTTCAAATTAAATTGTAATCTTTTAATGTATAATATCTTTAAGGAGAATGCTTACCAGTAGAATTTCTAGTTTATCACTTAATTTCAGCAAATGATAGATTTTCTAGATCACAAACTGGGTCCTAATATTACTTGAACTCTAAAGATTAACTCGAAGTTTCTCTTACTCGGGGTTAGAGAAACTGTAACGGGTAATTTCTATAATATTTACGGCAATTGGTTTTGTTCTGCAGCATTTTTAAATTGTAGCAGTTCCTACAGTTTCATCAATTTCGCAGACAATACTTACTCATCAGATATTAGCGATTTGTAGTGCTCCGACATTATATCTGCGGGTATTTATCGCAAATTCTTACATCAGATAATACGTTTTTGCATTTAATGCAACACATTTCCAACAACAGTCATCCAATCAATTGTTAATATTGCCACAGTTTTCTAACCACACCTTCAGTTATTTACATTTTCTGTCAATTACATGTCAAAACAAGCATGGTCAAATCTTCAGAACGATATCGATAACTGTATAAGGATGTTCTAAACGTATTTGGTTATATCTCTAAACTAGAATGGTTTGGGTACACTGGCTTTATAGAAGTATAAAGTATAAGTATACAGTATAACTAAAGTAAAAGTATAAGTATTATACAAGTACTTGTATAACTGGAAGTTTGGGAACCTCTGCTCTAGATATACAGGGTGTTTCAGAATTGAAGTGACAAAAGTTCATATGATTGGACTTGCGGTATGGGCTATGTTTTATGGGCTACGTTTTTCAGATACGGGGTGCGAACAAAAGTGTATGAAAATTAATATTTTCTTAAGAGCTTTTTAAACAATTTGAATAAAATTATTGGTGAACGTGTCGTTCGAGTCCCACCGAGCTTTTAGCTTTTTCTTGTTTTACCTTAAAGGACATTTTATATTTCAACCGTTTCAACGAAAAAATCCGGGATGGTCAATACATTAAGCCCCAAAAAACACTTCAACAAACGTTTCAATTTCGCTTTCCCAAAACCACTTATTTATGCACGAAAGTGAAATTATCCGTTGCTATTTGCTGCTAAATCGTGATCGTGTTTAAAGTATCAATAAAGCATAACTCCACATGCAAAATTGTCGCTAGGACGAGTACTTTTTCCCCAAAAGTTAGAATATCTTTTATGCAGGACTTTTTATGAAAAGTAACCTTTTTCGTCAAATTATTAATAAAAAGGTTTGCGATATGGTCAGAGCCTTCAAAATAATGGTAAAACACAAAACTTGATGTTCATCGTAGATAAGTGCAATTAAATACCTGAATGTACTCTTGTATCAATAAACTTTTCTTAATAACAATTTGAGCTATCGTCAAAAATAAAAGTTCATTCTTGAGCAAAATTAATGTTTTCCGATATACCTGGTATACCACGGAAAAAAATTCTGATGGTTGCGTTTCAGGTTTCGGACCAAGCAGAACTTTTTATGAATAATAACGCTTTTTCGTAAATTGAATAATGAAAAAATATAATACATACATACAAGCTGATTTTTTTTCTGTCGCCTATATACCAGGACTGAATTTGTTTTGGGGCAGTTTCTTTGCATTGGTATATTTTCTGTAACTTACGTCGTTTTAGCTGCACTGGTAAGCTCCTAAACCAAGTCTGAACTGTTGTTGCACTTTTCACCATGAGAGGGGCTTCAAACTCGTATATTATTTGCTACAAAAATGACAGGGTCTTGTTCCGGTGGCCGTCGACAATATCCTTAGGAATTATATCATACATTATATCATATCGAGTTTCTTTCAGAGATGTAAACACTAACTGCATATTGTGAATTTTCTGAAGACGAGAAATGGCGGGTACCCGAAGTCTGGGAGTAAGGTCATTTCTGATCTGAATATTCAAAAAGAAGAAAGTACACCAGTATAAAAAATATTTTTAAGATCGATTTTTTTACTTCTGATGAGTACCTTGGAGCGTACATGTTTTTTCAACAAATGGGGATCCTTCGAAAACATTTCTAAGAGGAAATTAGCCAAACCTTGTGAGTGAGAATTTGAGCTTAATGGAATCACTTCGTTATAAATCGTCTCTAAACCGATTCTCAACCATAAAGGGTTGTATCCCAACAGCAAATGGATTATGTTAGACTTTAACTTTAGATTCAAGTGAATGTCCAAGTCACTGCGAATTGACAATTTTCGCGTCTCAACGACCAGACATATTTTTTGCAAGACATTGCTCACTTCCTTGGAGCTGATCATGTTTTGAGTTTGATTTCTCAACTGATGAAATTTCTTGTTTGTATGGTATTCTACAGACATTTTTTCTTTGGAAGGAGCTAAAGGTACAGATTCGGTGGTGCATGCTTGCCAAACTTTTGCAATATCAATTTCACTTTTAGCATCTAACTCCTTCGTGAGAGTTAAAAGAGTGTTCAACCACTTTTCAAAGTTCTTCTCTTGTTGGTTAAACCAATTCTCATTGCTGTAAATTGAATACGTCATGAATGGATCTATTATATTTGCATACAGGAAAGGATTCTTGGTAATCACAGTATGGTTTGTTGTTTCCGATATACACGCAATACGATTATTGCGACTTTCGCCACTAGAACTAGAAAATTCTCTCTCAAGTTTAGTCCAAACGTCCTTTTGGAAACCCGAAAAGCGGAAGTAGATGACATTTGCAATCGCTCTCTTTTGCTTGGCATGTCTCCAGTTATTGAACTTTTGCGTTTTTCGCCAATGTGTAAACTTGTTAGTCCTAAGATATGCTATGTTGGATTCTTCAGGGATCGCAGACATATTGGGCCCAAATGTAGGATCTATATTCGGCGCAGAAAAGTCTAAACGTTTAGAGGAAACATTATTTGGAAATACTAGATATGTTTCAGGAGCACATGGAGAAACATCCAGTATATTAACTGACTCGTTTTTCACATAAGTTCCTCCGCTGCGGTCAGTTTTCAAAAATGTATCCGAGCTAGAATTGTTGACTACATATGTCTCTGCACCAACATTGCTTGTTAGGCAATTACTTTCTACATTCAGAACAGACTTACTTAAAGGGCCAATGGCATGTGCAAACAAATTTGCTGCAAAGTCACTTGAATTTTTCAAGAAAATATCATTTAATGCTCCTTCCCTGGTCAGCTCAACGACCAGGATACTCTTATCAACTAGCGCGAACAAACTATCACAGCTATCTCTGTTTGATCTTCTTTCATAATTACCAGCATTTGCACTTATTAATAATTGTTTTAAGCTAGGCGACGACGCTTTGATATGCACTTTTTGCAATAACGGTGACTCCAGATTATCCCATAGTTCAGTAGGCGAATTTATGACAAATGTATGTTTAGTTTCTAAAATATTTTCTTCGGTACTTAAATAATAATCCGAACTTATCTTTCGGGGGGATCAATCAATCAATCAACGGAGGGCGAATTGTAAATGTTCCTCTTCGTAAATCTGGAATTGGACTTTCCAATGGAGGTAATCCGTGTACTACTGACCCTTTAGTATGAAACATTCATACGTTTTTGAAAAATTAGAGACAGAATATTGCAATGGCTGCTCCGAGAAGTGGGGAGAAACATTTTCCTTTTCGGTCTTTGAACGGCTGACTGATGCAGTTGGCATCTTTGGCGAGTTTCCCTGAGAAATAAACTTTTTTGTGGGAGATACTGTTTTTCTGGTTGGTTGACATGAGATGGCCTTTGAATTGCTTTTCTTTACTGTCCTGTTAGCGTGTGTTTGCTGTAAAGAAGAATACAGATTAGCCTAAGCTGCTTGGTCTTGAAACTTTTCAGAAACAGAATAATTTTACTTATACGCTGACGAAACTGCACTGATTATGCACGAAGAAGATTAACAGCAAAAGCTGTAGAGCAGGGGTATGGGCAACAACCGGAATAAAAATCTTCGCGAAGACATCCAGTGTTCCGAACCCTGGGTAGTGTTGGATTCTTACCAACTAAAAAACCCCCTTTTTTGTACTACGAGTTTTCGGGAGTTATCCTTTAAAACTTGTAGTCCTCTCTAAGAATTTGTCAGCTCCGGCATCCGTATACCATAGCATCGCATTCTCTCCATGCTAGCTGCTTGCTAGCATGGGCATCTTATTAATTTATACCTTACTTCTATGTGCATGCTAATTGCTACCACAGATTACAGAGTACCGCTGTGATCTGTGATTACTACTAACTCTACATAACCACACTTACAGCTTACGCCGTTTGCTACCTGTTGCCCTATTGGGCTAGTTGGTGTCTGGGCCTTTTTTTCTTGGGTCCCAGATCTTCAGATGTGTAATTTACCAGATTTCGTAGCTCTTCGTTGGAGTGCCTTCCAGCTTTCTCGAAGTCTTCAGCCACTTTCCTTGTAAGAAACTCTCTTAGTGGCTCCCACTCCAGGTCCCTGTAGATTTGGAAGTTTCTAACAAACCAGGGCGCATCTATGGGCATTCGCAGAAGTTTGTTTTCTGTGGCCTGAAATCTATTCAAGTGACACTCGGCCGCATATCCCCACAAAGTGGAGGCATACACCAGTGTCGGCCTGATTATGGTCTTGATGAGGAGTAGCTTGTTCTTGATACTCATCTGGCTTCTTCGATTGAGGAGTGGGTACAGCTTGGCAGTTGTTGCCCTAACCTTGTCGATGGCTGTTTTTAAGTGCTTCTTCCAGGTCAGCTGTTTATCTAAAACAACACCCAAATATTTAGCATCTCTTTCCCATTCGATGTTTTGTCCCTCTATCGTGATGTTGCCATCGACACTGTCCTGCTTCCTGCCAATAAGTATGGCCTGACTCTTCTCTGCATTTATCTTCAGCTTCCACTTGATGAACCACTGATATGTAGTTCGTCAATTGCAAGCTGGAGCTGTTGCCTGATGCAGTCCTTGCGACATGAGGATGTCAGAAGGGCCGTATCATCTGCAAAGAGTGCCAGGGTCGTATTGGCAGGTCTGGGGATGTCGCTTGTGTATATTGTAACGAAAATGGCCTGGGGTACTCACGTTTGGAATGGGGGATCGAAATTCATGGATCATCGAACCCATTTACTGTCAAATATGACACTGACAAGCGGGAAATTTCGCACCTGGACTGGAGATTTCGAGAACCTTCTGGGTTACCTGGAGGAAACTATATAAG